AAGTGAAAATTCTCAATTTAATATGGAAAGAAAAAATTGTATGCTGAGGTAGTTATAATGTATGGTAAGAACAAAAATCTGTCCATGAAATTGTGAAAAAGAAATGTATATGTGCAATATATTCGTTACTATCTGCAGTTTCAGGCATTTGCTGGGTAACTTAGAACCTATCCCTGTAGATACAGGGGTTCTGCTGTATATTCTTGTACAATATTGGCAGCACCTGTATTGTACAGCTGATGAATAGCATAATCAACACTTAAACAAATGTTAATGTTCCACAACTTGAAGTAAATTGCATACTGAATGAGTTCCTTTTCCATATTAATTTCACCTATAGAAGACCAGCGCTTTGATCAGAAGTTAAGTTCTTTTTATTTCACTGGTAGCTCATACCTGCCAAAAATACATACTTCTTTACATTCCATAATGTATTTTCATATGGGTATATAAAGAAGTATGTGCTCTGGGCAGGTTTTAATAGCAGTGTTCTGATGGATGTAGCTGAAAGAATTTCCTCACTCTTTGTCCTAAGGTGCAAAACATTGGTTCTCAATTAGTTGTAAGACTTTTTCTTGTTTTTTAATAACTGGTATTAATGGTAAAATTCACAATGTGGTTTACCTACACAGTAACTTAAAGCATACTAAAGGGTATTGTGCTGTCATGAAATTCTCAAATACTTGTCCAGATGTCTGTTGCTGCTTCTCATCTATTAAGCATGCATATAAAGAGCAGTATGACTTCACCAAAAGTTGACTGTATAAAATGCATCCATGAAATGGTGATTGAATTCCAATTTGATAATGGAATGCCATTGGCATATTTTGCACTGTTTAAACTAGCCTGTGAAGGCACTTTAGATGAATTGGAAAGAATAGTAATAAATATCTTCGTAAAAAGTCCCAACTCTAGTATTTTTCCGTAGTTTGTAGGTTAACACACTTTGTCTCTATTATTCGATGATACTGCTGAGAAAACATTGGCAATGTTTGGCAAGGTTCAAAGGGAAAAAACACCTTTTAGCTGGTTCTATTTCACGCAGTGTGAGCTTGCTTCTATTGAACACTTCCAGAGTAGTTAACTTCATGCAATAGTTCATTGTTTCAGTCAAGAATCATTTGCAGGCAAATACTAGTTTAGATACATGGAAATTTTTTAGCAGTCTAATAAATTCCATCTTTCTCTTTTAGCCTGGCAAAGGCAGTGCAACATCAGGTTGCAAAAACCAATACAATTTAGTTCATGTTTGTGTGGTCAGAATTTTTGAATAGCTGAAATACGTAGATTATAGTTCAGAAAGCTGCACAGTGAGATCTGCAATGTTGATTAGTAATCTGAAAAAGGAAATCTGTTTTCATTTGAGCCTTGCTCTAAATTAATACTCAAGTAACAGTACTCGTAACAGTCTTGAGACAAGACAAAAACCATGAAGTTTTAATTTCTGCAGCCCTTGACAAAAAGCTAGTGCAGCTGATAGAGAGCAAATCAGAGCATGGCAATAGCTAGCACAATACTACAAGGAGAAACAGCAATGCAGCATAAGAATTATTACTTGTTCATTTTGGATTTGAACTATATTGCTGTCATATGCCAGAATCAAATAGTTTTAATGCTCTTTATCTATTAATAAAGTTACCTTTTAGTTAAAGGATGCATTGTCGTCCTGTTTTCTTGTGAATAATGGAATGGCTGTAAAATGCTGGATAGATGTGATTTGAAAGGGAGAGTAACATAATGCATTTCTATATAATTAATTTTCAAAATGTTTAGACAGCAAAAGATACATAAAACTTAACTAAGATGAAATTTCTTGACAACAAGGTATTCACTGTGGTATTTCAACTAAACATAAATTCTCCAACCCTACTCTTTACATCACAAATGTTTGACACTTAAGTACTCTGGCAATAAGTATTACATGTAATAAAGATCATTATAACAAAAATCAAGTCAAGTAAAAATGCATGCAGAGTCCTTTAAACACGTGTAATAATTCAAGGACTTCTAATGCTCTGTTACCTGTAAGCTTATCATGCAGCATTTGCAGTTGGGAGAGAGGTAATGACCTAGAGACAGACATCAGCAGCAGCCATCTCATCTTGAGTGTTCACTCTATTTGCTGATTCAGCTCTTCATTATGTGGGAGGGGAGAGCATTGGGGAGGTGAAGGTGAATGCATATTTCACTTTCTAAAGTAGTTATAACCAAAGCACAAGCAGGTATGCTAGTGTTATTTGCTACTTTTCCATAAATACTAAAGTGTGGATGTATGGAAATTGGTTCCTTGTATCTGCAAGACTCAAAAGTAGAAAGTATCCAGGATGGCAGCTAGGAAACCCAAGGAAGGATAAACACATCTTGTTTGTCAGCTGGAAAAAGCTAGAAGAAAATGTTCATGAAATTCAGCATACACCTTCACCACCATCCCTTCACAAGCATTTCTTCTTTCCTTCTTAGATGTTTTACTTTGTCTCGTAGTGCTTTGCATTTAGTTTCCAAACAGATCTGTTGTATCTATTTTCCGTCTTCAGAGGTCAAATGCTGTTGTTGAGGTCAGAACTCCAACATGAGTGCTATTTAGGCTGTATCCATTTGCTACTCTGGGCACAAGCAAAACTGTTTCAGCTTTATAGGCAGCTAAGCATTTGAAACATTCACTCCCTGCCTCTCTCTTCCCTGACCATATTTAGTCAACCACTGCAAAAAATAGTCTCTAGGCTGTTGGTTGCAGTTCTAGGAGCAGAGGGTGGCTCTATCCTTTTCTCTGCCTATTGATTGTTCATCCTGCAGTCCCAACAGTAATTAGCTACTTGTGCTGATATCTTTCAGTAATTGCAAATGAAGTGGGGGTTGCATTTATAACTAGGTTTTTCTAGATTTCTGAAGATTTGCAAGCCTGGTGCATCTTTCAGTGCTTTTAGGTATAATAGAGATCAAAATGAGGGCAAGGGAGATGGCAAGGGAAATCTCAGCATAAGCAGGAATTAAAATGGCTTTTCAGTAAAGTAGTTATAATGTAGCCTTAGAAATACTTGTGTGGAAAGTAGTCAGATGAAGATTGGAATAAGGGATTGGGCCTAATCTGTTTTAAAAGTAGGATGGAATATATTATTCTATTTTAAAACTTTCTGTATCTGTAATTATTAATACATCAATAATAAAATGAAGGACAGTTTATTTTAAGAAAAGCTGCAGTACAGCTTATGATTACTTACATATATATATATCAGAGATAGCATGACTGATTTTCAGAAAGCAGCTACAAAAGCTACCCTAGTTTTTAGTATATTTAAATGTGGCTAAAATAAACTAAATATCCTATCCATGTCTAGATAAAATGCTCTTTGGCAAAAGTAATCATTAGTGGATAAGCCTGAATGATGCTGAAATGTGTATTTTTATATAGCTCCTAACATAATAGAGTTCTATCTGAGATGCATAGTGCATTAGAAATACAATATCAATGACAATTCAGAGTTGTTTACTCTGTATTTCAAGGATCACATGCTTCTGTATGAACCTGTGCCTTGTTATCATCTGTGTATCCTTCTCCATGTTCTCCCCTGTAAACTTTAGGTAAGATGAGAGAAAGTGTCTTTCTGTGGGGCATTCTGTCTTTGGAATGTCCTCATTAAGTGCAAAGTATAAACTTTTTGCTTTGATTTTTTTTTTATTTCAGTGTATTGCTTTTTTTATTGGCTGCTGTGTTAAGAGATATTTTGAGTTCGTTATATTTTTTTTCCCTGTTGACATCTGAGAACTAATGTGTAGTGATTAGACTGTTGGACTGAGGACCTGGGGGATCCAGGTTATAGTCCTTACTTGGCCTTGAAGCTCACTGGATGACTTTGGGTAGTCTTAGACTCTGAGGCCAATTTACCTTACAGGGTTATTGTGAGGATAAAAATGGAGTGGAGGAGAACTATATAAGGTGCTCTGGGTCACTTGCAAGAATTAAAAAGAAATTATAAAAATACAATAAAATAATAATTATAATACTAATAAAATATTTTATGGTGAGAGTTATGTAATCTGTAAACCACTTTGAAAAAGTATTTAAGGTGGCATGTATGGGAATATATATATAATTAAATATATGTGAATACCAACTACTGCTTTCTGGTCCCATCTCTTCTCTTTTACCCATGTCTGTTCTGGATGATTCAGGAAAGTTTGAAAGAATGAGAAATTGTCTATACTAGCATTCATATAAAAGGAATGGAGCAGGGTGTAAAACCACACATTATTTTCAGATGAAAAAAAATAACTGAATATTCACATATCTCTTCCCATTTGGATAATAATAGCACTAAACTACACTCAGATAAACAACTTAATTTGGCTGCTATGGAACCCTGTACTGAATTCCATTTATATATATTACGGAGAGGAAGGTATGTCATGTCATTCTGGCAGATTGAAGCACACAGGTGGTACATAAGTTCCATTGATATCATTCTTGAAGATGAGCTGGTGTTATTAGAGGCTATGGAGAGGCGAGAGAAAGGAAATAAGAAACTAAGGACAGTTCTTCATGGTCTCTGTGTGATTGGATTGCTGATCAACTTAAATGAGATAATTAAAAATGCGCTTTAGAATTTAATCTTGTTGATGGTTTCCAAAATAGTTATTTTTCATATTACAAGTAGTACATGAGGGGAAATGGTATCCATTTCCTGAGTAGTAAGTTGCATGCATGCTGCATAAAGGAGGAAAAGATGGATAAACTTTTTGAATATGGATAGACTTTGGCATTTTCTTCTGGAATAACTAATATAATAATTTAGATCACTTTACACTATTTTAATTGAGTACAAATGTAATTCTAAAATTTAATAAATAAAATTGTTCATTTTAAGTGGTTTAAAACTAGAAAAATGATTTCGAGTACCCACAAATTACTGTTCAATTTGGGAATTGTGTACTTGGATGAAAAGGTTAAGCTAATATTACAGGATAATATTAGGCAATAATACGCTGTGCTTTCTGTATTTCAGTGCAATGAGAGTGTTGCTTTCTAAGCTGCCAAGGCCATGGATTGTGGATGAGAAGAAAGATGATGGGTATACTGCCTTGCATTTGGCAGCACTTAATAATCATGTGGAAGTGGCAGAACTCTTGGTGCATCAGGCAGGTTCTTACTAATATTTTGGCATGAAAACAATATCTAGTATAGTAAACTATTTTCTATACCATTTTGTCTACTATGACAGTGGCTTTCCCAGGTGTTGAAGAAGTTGTCTTTCTTATCACCAGCTGCCGTACCTTTTAAACTTGAGATGCCACATTAGATAGTATATTAGTTTGTTTATAGAAATGTACAGAGATGATAAATGCACGTAACATTCTGTTACTCATTTTGTATAGGCATCAATTCTGATTTGACAGATGTTACATTGTATACATTTATAGCACTGTAATTAACAATGACCCAGACTTTTAGTGATGAATACAATACTTCCATAGATAGTACAGTGGTACTTGGTTCAAGAACACCTCAGTTCATGACCAAATCAGGTCACAAACAAAAATTTAAGAATTTTTTTTTACTCAGGTCATGAACTCTACACCGGGTGACGATTGCACCCGTCTCTCCCTCCAAGCACGCCCGCGATCACATCTGTCTTCACCCCCGAGCACGCCTGTGATAGCACCCGTCTCCTCCGCGAGAGTGCCTGCGATCGCGCCTGTCCCCCCTGCGCATGCCTACGATTGCACCTGTTCCCCTGAGCTTGCCTGTGATCACACCTGCCCCCCCCCGAGCATGCCTGCGATCACGCCTGTCGTTCCCCCCCACCTGAGCGCAATCATGCCCGTCTATGGCTGCAGTCATGGCCATGCTCGTGCAGGGAACACGAGCACAATCGTGGTCGTGTTGGGGGGAGATGGCGCACTCATGCTTGGTGTTGGGGGGAGGTGGTTACAATCTTTGTTGTTCTTTGTCACTTTGCTTCAAATTTTTGTGATAAAAAAAAAAAATGACAGAACGGATTAACTATTTACATTGAACCTTATGGGGAAATTTGATTTGGCTCATGACCAATTTGGGTCACAACCAGAGTCATGGAGTGGATTAAGTTCTTGAGCCAAGGTGCCACTGTATTAAAATTATTAATGCTCTTAATTCACTGGAGATTATTATGACTGAGATTATAGACCAACTTTAATATAAACACAAGGCCATGGGATTTTGTACTCAGTAGTTATTCATTGTGGCCTCTGCATCACATATTATGGATGCTGCACCTGCGCAGTGCCTGTTGCTGGGAAGATTTAATAGCTTTATTATTATTGTTGTTGTTGTTATTATAATTATTATAACATTTCTGTGCCGCCCCTTGCCGAAGCCTCAGGGCGGCTTACAACACAATGGTTTAATGGTTTTTGGCAGGAACTCTGCACCCTAACCCCCTAGTATAAATGGACGGAGTGTCTGCCCTTTCCCCTGTCTGCTGTTCACCATACCTGGGGCCTTTTTGCTCTCTGCTTGTGCTTCTAGATCATAAACTTTTAAATCTTATCTTCTTCTCTTCATTCCCTTTCACTTTACAACTTATAGCCCTTTCTCCAAGATTGCCCCTTACCAACTCCTTACCACTTCTTTCTTATTTTCCCACTTCCCCTTAACCCCCTCAAAAAACAAAACAAAACCCTTCTATTGTCCTTCTCTTTCACAAACTCTTTCCACCCGCTGTTTTCTCTCTGCCTTTTCTTCCTTGATGGCACAGCAGGAAGCCTTCTGTATGTGCTCTCATTGTGGAGCCAAGATGTCCCCCACTGACCCTCATGATCTGTGCCTTCTCTGCCTCGGAGAAGGCCACAGGACCGATAAATGCAGCCACTGCCAGTCGTTTACCAGGCAAGCTCGCAAAAATTGTGAAAACATGCTGCGAAAAATGTTATGGGAGCAAGCACTGGTTGCAATGAAGCAGGTCTCTCCTGAGGCCAGCTCTTCTGTGGCTTCAGGACCGCCAAAATTCGTCCCTGCTTGTCCATCTGAAGGGGATCCTGTTGGCAAAGATGGAAAGCGCTCCTCTAATTCTCCTTCCTGCAAACATAAGGAGAAGAGGACGGATGTCATGTCCGAGGATTCTTCAAAGCCCAAATGTCCTAAGAAGGACAAACCCGACAAATCTGAGCTCCGGCATAAGAAACATGATAAGGAGCCTCGCTCGGAGCCGACCATTGCACCCATCTCGGTTCTGATTTCAGTCCTGGCCGAAACTCCAAGCCACCAGTCTGTTCGGATTCCATCTTCGCTGCACTGCAGTCCCAATCCTTTGGCGAGAGGTTCGATCTCCGACAGAGAAATCTGTGAATCTCTGGAGAAATCCGTGAATCTCAGCCAGGAACTGAACATATTCCTTCAAGATCACCAACACCTATGTCTGTGGCTTTATCATCTCCAGAGGGATCTTCGAGGCACCCCAACACCCGTTGTCCCTCTTACCCCCCCCTCCCGCCAGCCTTCCGCTCCACAACCTTTGCGGTACTGGGTTCCTATCCCATATGGGCAGTTTGATCCTGACCGCTTCAACCGGCCTTATCCGTGGGATTACTGTCTCCCATATGGATACTACCCATGACCACCAATGTGTTCCCATCATTCCACCCCTCACTTGGTGTCAAGGGATGTTCTGTTGATTTCCGTTGCAGTACTTGCCCATCCACCAGCGTCTCCTGGTGGTTCTTCATCTAGTCTGCCTTATATCTCGGATTTGGACTCGGAAGACTCCAAGCAAGCCTCCTCATCTCCCGATGTGGTCATCTCTACTCAAGATCCTGGATCACCGGGCAACTCCCAGGGAACCTTCTCTGAGCCGCTCTCTCAGAATTACTGGAGATAGACGTGCAGCAGCAAATAGATCCCAACCAGGACAATATTTACGACATTGTGTGTAAAGAGGACTCATCATTCATCTCTCTGCCCTTCATCACCAGTCTAAAACAGGCGATGATTGATACTTGGCAACTTCTGAATCACCTACATCCCACCTCCAGGTGCCTAGAGGGGATGTACAAGGTTCATTTCATTCCTCATCAAGCACCCTCAGCCAAATTTGATAGTGATCGAATCCTCCCAAGGAAGGCAGGGAAAAAAACCCACTCAACTCCGGCTGATAAGGAGGTCAGAAAGATCGACCTGATGTCTCACCACATCAATACCGCAGTGGGACTTGGTCTTAGGATCTCCAGCTATGAGACCACCATGGCCCTCTATCAATTCTTCTTATGGCAGAAGATTAAGTCCCTCACTGCATTCCTCCCAGACCAGCAAAGGGAGGTGGTCTGCCTTTTCATTGGGGAGGCAATATAGCTTTCCAGACAACAGCTCAACACGGCAAGATATCATGTTGATTGCAACTCCCAAGCTCTCGTCAGTGCCATTGCACTTGGTCGCCACACCTGGCTGAGATCTGGAAGTTTGCCACAGCAGACCAAGCAGCGTGTTGAGAACATGCCATTTGATGGCTCCGGATTGTTCAGTGTGAAGATGGATGACAAGCTCGAGAACATCCAGAAGGCTTGTCTCACCACACGTCGCATGGAAACTCCTTCACAACAAAAACGTAAGTAGCCATGGAACAGATCGCAATACTGGTACCAGCCCTACCATCAATCACACCCATCCGGACGTCAACAATATGGCCAAAGACAACAGTGCAATCAAAAGCGAAATGCACCTCGATATCAGCAATCCAGGTGCCAACCAGATGCAGACAAGTGTCCATGCTGATGGGACACACAAATCATTCCTCATTCCTTCAGTCCACCTTCCCCTCTCCCTTTTGGGGATCAGCTGCAAAGCTGACTCCCCATCTGGGAGTCCATCACATCTGATAGGTGGGTTCTCTCCATTGTAGAGCATGATATAAAATCAAGTTTGAGACTGCTGCCTGTCAGCCTGATCCGGTACATAGCAGCCTCTCCAGCATTCCTGGAAGAAGTCACCAAGCTGCTTCATAAAGGAGTGATTTGTTAACTCCATCACTCCGAAGGACTGCACGGTTTCTACTCCAGGTACTTTACGGTACCAAAATGAGATGGCGGTTTACGCCTGGTTTTGGACTTGCGTGGGGTCAATAAATATATTAAAACAAAAAAATTCAGAATGACCATGCTGCAGAATATACTTCCATTGCTCAGGAAAGAGGATTGGTTTGCATCCCTGGACTTGAAAGACACTTATTTCCACATCAACATTCATCCTACTCACAGGCGCCTCCTTCCATTTACTGTTGGTACCAATGTCTTTGAATGTAATGTGCTCCCCTTCGGTCTTGCTACCACTCCAAGAGTATTCACCAAGTGTATGGCTCCCGTTTGTGCCCATCTCCGACTTCAGGGCACTCAACTCTATCCATACCTTGATGTCTGGCTTATCGTTTCCTCTTCCGGGGATGACTTTTTTGGCTCCATCAAGACTACCTGCTCCCCACTTTATCGTCTTGGCCTCTGTATTAATACTGAAAAATCATGCCTCCTTCCTTCTCGTGTCATCAGTTTCTTCGGAGCATGTCTAGACTCTTTACACACATGAGCCTTCCTTCCTCAGGACTGACAGGAAAGACTGATTTCTTCCATCCAGCGGATCACTACCCAGTGGACTATCCCTGCACACTCGATACAAGTGCTCAGTCATATGGAGTCCACAGTTTCGGTGGTGCTGAATGCAAGACTGCGAATGAGACCTTTACAACTCTGGTTCAATTGCAATTTCCATCGCAATTGACCCAACCGACTACTACAACCTCCGCACTCGGTCCTCAAGACCTTGTCTTGGTGGACAACTGATGCCAGTTTCTCCTGCGGAGTTCCATTCTGTGCATTGGAACTGACCGTGACTCTCTATACCGACACTTCCCTGACTGGATGGGGTTCCCACTGCACGTCTCTTTGGACACAGTGCACCTGGCACGGACATGAAACCATCAGGCATATCAACTACCTGGAATTACTGGCAGTCTCCAAAGCACTATGTTCCTTCCAAACCATCCTTCAAGACCACATGGTCCAGGTAGCATTGGACAATGTGGTGACCATGTTTTACATGAACAAACAGGGCAGTACAAAGTCGGTACTGTTAGCACATCTCACCTTTCGCTTGTGGAACTGGTGAATTGCCCACAGGATTACTCCCCGAGTTGTCCATCTAGCAGGCACCAACAACAAGGAAGCCAACTCCCTGAGCAGACATATGCCGATGACTCACGAGTGGGATTTAGATCAAGAAGTCTGTCTACACCGGTTTCAGCGTTGGGGAACACCGTACATAGACTTGTTTTCAACCCACGACAACTCGACATACTGCTCCTGAGCGGGCATCAGCCCAAATTTGATTGGGGATGTACTCATGGTTTTGTGGGAGAACAAATTTTTATACACCTTCCCACCGATACCATTAATAATGAGAACCATAGCTAAAATCTGACAAGACGACGCTCATGGAATCTTCACCTTGGTGGCCCCACTCTTCTCTAAGTTCCACGCAACAATTTTCTTCACCTACCTCAAGTTCCTCATCTCACTCAGGAACACAGTGCCATGCAACATCCGGACCTACAGTCTCTGAACCTCACTGCCTGGTTCGTTCATTGACTCTTTCTCCTGCATCGATACCGGCACTTTCTTTGGATTCGATACATGCACCATCTTCGGGAACGATGCCTGCTTCTCCGACAGCCGTATCTACAGCATCAGAGTCTTCTACACCAATATTATTTTCGGTATTTATACTGGTACCAATGTCTTACTTGGACCCAACCAACTTTTATTCTGATATACAGTTTATTCTCCAGTCTGCACTATGGCACTCCTACAATGCCAAATGGAAGCACTTCACCTCCTTTGCTGCTGCCAATCAACTTCTACGTCAGTCTGCTACTATCGAGAACATCCTACAATTTTTACTCTCATTACACCATAGGGGTCTTAAACCTTCCTCCATTAAGGTATACATTTAAGCTGTCTCGCATCATCGAGGATGCATTGGAAGTTTGTCTGTTTTCTCACATTACCTTGTGCGTCAGTTCCTACAAGGACTACAAAATCTTCAACTACCAATCCGATTGGTAGTCCCGACGTGGAACCTCTTTGTCATCCTACAGGCTCTCACAAAGCCTCTGTTTGAACCATTAGCTACAACAGATCTCCACTTCTCACTTGGTTCTTCACTGGTTCTTCTAGCCTCACTTACGTCAGCTAGAAGAACCAGTGAACTGTATGTCCTTTTCATTGACCTTCCATACCTAAACTTTCACAAGGATAAAGTGGTTCTATGGACCAATCCAACCTTCCTGCCCAAGGTTAATACTCTGTTTCACCTTAACCAGGACATTGTGCTACCGGCTTATTTCCCTGCTCCGTCGACACCAGTCGAGTACTTCCTACATAGTCTGGACATCCGGTGCAGCTTAGCCTTCTATCGATCCTGAACTGAGTTGATAAGGAAAATCAAACATCTTTTCATCAAATACTCGGAACACAACAAGGGAGCTCCTGTCAGTACTCAAAGACTTTTGAAATGGATCATCGAGACAATTGAACAGGCCTATTGCCTTTCCAAACTTGACTTCCCTGTTACTCCAAAAGGACACTCTACAAGAGCTGTCCCTGCTTCTTCTGCCCTCCGTGTAGGCATCCCTTTACAAGATACCTGCCAAGTGGCCACAAGTCTTCCCCATGCACTTTCACAAAGCACTACCACTTAGACGTCAAGGCCAGACAGGACTGCTCCTTCAGCCATGCTGTCCTCTCCACAGTTCTCCAGTGATGACACCATCCCGCCTCTGGGTGTGGTAAGCTTGCTAATCACCCATAATGTGTGATGCATGGAGACCACGATGAAGAAAGGCAGGTTGGTTACCTGAACTGTCATTCTTCGAGTGTTCATTCGTGCATTCATACAACCAGCCCACCGGCCCCACTCGGTGTTGGTGGCTGAGTATGCTGTACTTTTATATATGTATCCGTTTACGTGAATGTATATATGTACATTATGTGAATGTATATTATGTGAATGTATCTTTCTTTCCTCTTTATGAGCCAGATTTGATACTGGGTCTCTCCACTTGGGGGTGAACGGACAGTCTTCAGCTGACTGGGAAAAGGTGGACACTCCGTCCATTTATACTGGGGGGGAGGGTGCAGAGTTCCTGCCAAAAACCATTAAAGCTATTAAATCATCCCAGCAACAGGCACTGAGCAGGCACAGCACCTATAATGTGTGAATGCATGGATGACCACTCAAAGAACAACAGTTATAGGTAAGCAACCTGCCTTTCTAATGCTTGGTTTTCTTGTGACTTCCTTTTTTTGCTGCTTCTGAAGACAGAACAGCCTCAATGGAAGTGAAGAATTGGAAGGCTCTGGCTTGGGTGATATTGGTATTACTGCAAAGAACTTTGCTATAAATCTCATTTGAAGAAGTTTGGGTAGGCTTGTAAAGGCTAGTTAGCTTTATAGAGAAAGACAAAAAGAAATGTTCCCCCTCCGTTTTTACCAATATTAATGTACAGTTTATGTCATACATCTCATAAACTCCTCTTCCAGAAATAGTTGTTCTTGCTCTAATCCAGTAGGTGCACTGATAGTTAACTGCTTAACTTAGATAAACTTAGGAGCCCTTTTAGCTGGACAGTGACGATTTGGGTTATAGTTTGGTTATATCCATTAAGATTGTACAAACTTCAAAACTTGTATCCATAAATTGTTCTGGTATTAGGATTAACTATGAGAAACATAAAACTATTTTAATACATCATGTTCTGTTGGATAGGTGCTAAGTTTTTAAATCAACTAATTGGAAGAGTTAATATTCCTCTGTATATCAATTGAATATTTAACACTTGAGTATAAATGGTTTGAAAAATACGTTAATTTCATAGTTTAAGTCAAGATTTAGGTACAGTTTTTCAGATTTTGTCTTTGAGGAACTTTAAGAAGGTAGTCTCTTGTTTCTTGGAACCTTGTTCTCCACCTTTTCCCTAAAAAATCTATGAAAGAGGTCAAATTTAGGATTATATCGCTTATTTTAATCATCATCATGGGTAACAATTAGGATATCTCTTTCAGGGCAATGCTAACCTGGATATCCAGAATGTAAACCAACAAACTGCACTGCACCTTGCTGTTGAACGACAGCACACCCAAATAGTGAGGGTAAGGTCCTTACAACACTACAAGGTAGTAATTCTTAAATTCGCTATTTGTGTGTGCGTGTGAGTGTGTGTTATTACAAGGGGTCTTTTCCCAATTTCCCTGGGCTTTTTTATTTCACCAGGCCAGCAGCATACAGTTAGTATATGGTGGCCACTTTAAGGGACAGACTTGCTCTATCTCTCCTTCCTGTAGGAATGTTTATATTCTATTCAAATGCATACTGTCCCTATAAACAGTAGAAATAAAATTCGTTTCTTCTATTTCTGTTTTGATTTTTCTATGCACAAGTGAGGAGATAATCAAGGGGTAATGCTTGCAGAAAACCTTCAAAAGAAAAAACTATAGGTGTGGAGAGAAAATCAAATGACACATTGACTGAAAGTATAAAAGAAAAACAAAACACTCAGAAATTCAATTGCTGGGAGTATGGTGTCTGGCTTGGAAAAGGATAAAGAAAGATGTAGATGTAAAGATTAAACTGAACAATGTCATTTGAATAGGTCATTTCCTGGTTTACAGTGAAACAATGTTTATGTGTGCCCAAAAGCAAAAGTGAGAAATGCCCACAGTAATCAATAGATTTATTTTAATATAAATCTATTATATTAGATAGATTAATATATCAGTGTATCAATTCCACCCCCAATCCATTCACAAGAAATCTCCCAAATGGGCAGAATCCCCAAAATGGTTCTGTGAATACTGAGCACAAAGAGAGTAAAAAACTATTTGCTGACTGATGGAAAAGTAGGGTGGAATGGAGTGATTGGAACCTAAAATGGAAGCATTCTCCAGTGCTTCAGTTGTAAAATAAATACTTGTTTTCACTGAAAACAAATTGTAGTTAAAGTGTAGCTTGAAAGATGCAAATAATTAAGTGCATTATCAATGTGTGTGTGGCAAAGCTGGGTTGTTTCTTACTTTTATGTCTGCTTGTAGATTGTCAGTGCCATCTTATGTAAAAAAAAAAAAAAAGTTGCTAACAGATCAAATTCTTTATTTTTTTAGCTCTTAGTCCGTGCAGGTGCTAAACTGGATATTCAGGATAAAGATGGAGATACCCCCCTTCATGAAGCCCTGAGGCATCATACCTTGTCACAACTTCGCCAGCTCCAAGACATGCAAGATGTGGGCAAGGTAGATACTGCTTGGGAGCCATCAAAGAACACAGTAAATAAATTGAACTTATTTATTACTTCTCTACTTTACTTTCTCTTTCCCATCTATTACAGAAAGTCCTGCTTTGGTTTAGATAGTTTCTGTTCTCCAAAAAACAATTATTTAAAGATAATTGTTCCATCAAACAAAAATGAAATTTAAAACTGAATGTGTTATATGCTCAAGAACACCTTATAAAAATGATTTTTTAGAAGTCCCAAATAGTTCAGTTTAACAGAAATTTGCTAATATTTCTTCAAATTTCTCTTTAACATATTCATAGAATGTCAATGTTATTAACAAGCAGTAATATAGCACAGTACAGATGGACTGTATAGTGTACATATTTGTATGTGTGGTTGTACAGATCAATATGATTAGTTTCTTAATGATTAAATAGTTCGGTGAGACAGAAAAATTGGAACAATAATTTCAAGGAGATCTTGCAGTATTACAAGCAGTCCCCGGTTTATAAATGAGTTCTGTTCCTGAGAACATCTTTAAGTCAAATTTATATGTAATTCAGATCATGCACATATGGATTGCATTTAGCATGCTTGTCTTAGCATACATATATACCATTCTAGGCATATAAAATACTTAAGAAACACTTCCATATACAATAAATTCTCTTCATTCACAAGGGTTAGGGCTGCAGGACCCCTGCAAAAGTGGAAAAAACTGCAATTCTCTCTAGTCCCCTACTCAGAACGTTAATTCTTAAGACTGTGGACCATGCATGAACTGGATTGTTTCTCCCTCTCTCTCTCTGCTATAGAACTCCAAATGTTCTCATGTTTGTTACTATGACCTTTTTTCTTTAACTTTAACTTGAACATTTAAATTAATAGGCTTTATGGCAGTGTGTTCATTAGTATAGATGTTAGTAACTTGGACATTGATAACTCAGGGACTTCCTATACTGCAATAGCATTAACGGGTTTATTTATTTATTTATTTTGCACTTTTGTATACCATCATCTTGTAGCCACATGGCTCTCTAGATGGTTTACTAATAAAAACAAACATCATAAATAACACAGTTAACACAATTAAATCCACAATATTAATAATAAATAACATAGCGTCATAGCAAGAACACCAAATAATAGTTTAACAACAGATTGGAATTATCTTAAATGTCACAATTAAGAATACTAAAATTAGCATTAAAATATAATTAAATCAAATTCCAACTAAATCAACAAATAAAATGCTCCTTGAATAAAAACCTCTTATTCTCATGCCAGAATATGTATAAGGATGGTGCTTAACAAATAACTCGATTCCATAAATGGGGTGCCACAACTGAGAAGGCCCTGCCTCAGGTAGCCATCCTCCTAGCTTCCTTTAGAGATGGCCCCTGGAGCAGGACCTCTGATGATGATCTCAGAGTCTGGGTAGGGTCATATGGATGGAGACATACTTTGAGGGGTATATATGAGGTACCACTAAACATACAAATAAAAACAATGCAAGAATTGTTGATTGAGGAGATATAGATGAATGATTGGGAGAGGGCTTGACACTCTGATGGCATATTTGCTCTATTCAGCTTATTTTGAGAGTAAAAGGAACTAACTGTACAAATTGCGCATTAGAGTTGCCAAAAGCTATTAATGATATTTGTAGCTCTGTTTGATCCTTAAGGCATTATTTTCTAGGTACATCAATAGAAACTCAAGTTAGTTGCTCATTTACTTTCTTTCAGTTGATAATGGGACTGGGTACACAGGGAGCAGAGAAGAAGAGTGCAGCATCTATTGCCTGCTTCCTGGCAGCAAACGGAGCTGACCTTGGTATTCGTAATAAGAAGGGTCAGTCACCTCTTGACTTGTGTCCTGATCCTAGCCTTTGTAAAGCATTGGCTAAATGTCACAAAGAAAAAGTCAGGTTTGTATTACAACAAAGCACTGGAATTTCTACACACATTTTGTTTTCTAAAGATTAGACAGTCAGTTGACAGTTTAATATGGGCAAAAATGAATGGTGGTCTTCCATTTTGGTTCTTAATGTATTAAATCCTTGCCACTTGGTGCATCTATAGCAGCAGTCTTCACACTTTATCAGTAGGGGACCAGTTGAAAGGCTGCGGTGACCGGCGCAGGCGGGGGTGGGGGTGCCTGGGGGCACGGGCCAGTGAGGTGCCATCAGGTGCGTGTGAGGCGGCATCGGGCACTCATGGTGGTGGCTTGCTCACTCGGAGATCTCCCAGCGAGTCCAAAACCATCTCCAAGTGAGCAAGCCACCACCTCCCCGGCTGCGCTGCGAGGCAGCAGCAAGTGTGCGCATATGGGAGACAGGCAGTGGCGGTGGCTTGCTCTCTCAGAGACCATCTCCAAGCAAGCAAGCAAGCAAGCAAGCAAGCAAGCAAGCAAGCAAGCAAGCCACCGCCTCCCTGCCTGCGCAGCAAGTGTGCGCACAGGTGGCAAGTGGGGGCGCAGGATGGATGGATGGCCATGGCAGGCCAGATCCGTCCCGCGGGCCATAGTTTGAGGACCCATGATCTACAGAGAACAATGTTTCCTTTGCCATACAGTTTGCATCAAAAAGCTCAGGAGAGCAGTGAAGTTCGTATTGTTAAAATTTAACAGGAATGGCTTGTGTTAACCAATTACTTTGCCATTCCTATTAATTTTATCCCTGACTTCAGCTTGCTGTATTTTTTCAGTGTTCCTACTTTTGAATTCACAGTTTTATAGTTGCTTTATGCATGTTGTGCACATCATTAGCAGTTCCATCAAAATTTAGAACTTATTGCATCCTCTATTTTTCTGGATTCATATGGGGAGTTTGGAATTTGTGAAGGTGAGCCAGGATCTAAACTCGATTGTTTTTCCCATCAATCACATGTTCACTTTCTGTGTGGACAAACAAGAAAATACTATTACATGCATTCTCACATCAGTATTCCTTTGAGTATCATATCATTGGTTATTTCTCAGGAGGGCTCTTGACCTTGCAGGGCAGGAGGTGCAGGAAGGTATCACTTGAAATGAGAGGATAAAAAAGTTCTTAAGCACAGACTTTGCACACAGCATTTCTTATTCGAACTGTTGAATTGCATTTTTAGGTTAAACATCAGTGGGTGTTACATGTTCTATAAGTGTTTGAATACTAAGCCAATGTTTTGACTTTTTTCTGACTTTAACCACTTATTTGCCCATTAGAAAAATATCCAGAAAAGAAACTAGGATAGTATCCTGATTAGGAACAAACAGAAAGCCACTGAGCAAAGCTCTTGAACTTCAGAAATCTTAATCATGCTGAGGATTAGACAAATTTATATAGGATAAAGGTGGCAGTGGCTACTAGTCATGAAGCTGATATGCAGACTCAAATATCAGGCTGTACTCCTGTGAATACCAGTTGCTGGGGCACACAAGGGGGAAAGTGCTATTGCCATCGTGGTCTACCTGTATGTCTCCCAAAGGTAGCTGGTTGGCCACTGTGTGAACAGGATACTGAACTGGTGGACTCATGGTCTGGTTCTTATGTCTTAAGATTCTTTCAAATTGGACTGTAGAAAAGCCCTAAGTAAGTACATAAATGGTCTTATGGACAGCAGGTAAAACAGGACGGATGTTAAGCAATCCTCCATTCTTGGTTTCTTGTTTAATATTCAGCTTGATGAGACTGATGAATTCAAAAGCATTTCATACTCATTGAAGATTTAGATAGTTCTAGTGAAGATATTGTGCTGATTATTTTGTATTTATTTCTACTACATGTCAGTGTTGCTCAATTTCTGACTCTTTTTAAAATATCCTGGTCTATTTCGATACATTTAGATAACTTAAAGGTTTTTTTCCCACCACCATTGGCCTCATTTTAACTCCAGTGTTAAATACAGAGTTAAAATGTATTTTATAAAATAACTCTGTGAATCTTTGTAATGGTTACATACTGTGTAGTCTTTTGTCTATCTACTTAGAAGTAAGCTCTGCCAAGATCAGTGGGACTTACAGGTAAGCAGATACAATTGCATCCACAGCCAACTTTTCTCAAAATCTTTTTCTGTAAGCTAAATAATGTTACTACATGGGTAAACAAAATTAAGCAACACAATGAAGTTTTATACAGTTGTATGTGATTACAGATATGGTAAATGCTTGTGTAATAACATGTCTAAATTAATGTTTGTGTTCAGTGGCCAGGTTGGTTCCCGAAGTCCTTCTATGATCAGCAATGATTCAGAAACCTTAGAAGAATGTATGGTATGTTCTGATATGAAGAGAGATACTTTATTTGGACCATGTGGGCATATTGCTACCTGTTCCCTCTGTTCACCAAGAGTCAAGAAATGCCTCATCTGCAAGGAGCAAGTTCAATCACGAACAAAGGTTTGTGCTTACATACCCTCCTTATTTCAGTATAGAATATCTTAAAATGTCTTGTTTAAAACTGAGTTCAAAACATAAGAAAATAAGGACCTGAGACTACAGTGATTCCTACTGTTCTAATTTAGCCTCCTGCCTTTTTTCTTGGAAGGAATGAACTATCTCTACAATAATATTCATTTCCATCATTTTTATCTCATAATTTATTATAACCTAGTATATTGAAGGCTAACCTGTTGATACATATCAATAGCAACTTAGATGGAAATGAAAAGGTAGCAATTTGCAGTTTATGAGTAGCCATGAGGTCACTTTTCTAGCATTTGCTTTAATCTGTGTGGACATTCAATACACCTAACTTTGCCAAGTTATACTAGATCCTAAGAATAGTTCCTATAATCAGCAGATACATTATTTTTAGTACAGAAAAGTAGGTCTTCAAGCAGAGACTAGACAACCATTTTCAAATGTTCTAGCTTTGAATTTCCTGCATTGATTGAGTTGGCATAGATAGTGTACAAGATCTCTCCAAAAGTTTGTTTATAGGGAAGTAATTAACTCAAAATATTTATCAAATTTATTAGTTTGCTTCTGCTTTGTTTAGAGCAGACATAAAAGACTAATTTTCATTACCATGTCTTAACAGAGGAATTATTCTGGATCAGTCCAATGGTCTATCTAGCGTAGCTTCTTATTTCCCTCAGTGGCCAACCATGTGCTTCTTAGAAACTATCAAGCCAGATTCAGAAGGATTAGTACTTTCCTGTTCTGGTTCCTAGCAAATAATTGGCTTTGCAACTAAAGGTTGTACATTGTTCTCATGATTTCATTATTAGTAATCATTTGATAAACAAATCCTATTTTAAAGTCAGCAGATTTAAGTATATGCAGTATGAAGCAGTATGTTCTTTTGTCCTGAATTTGGATGTCACAAATTCAGGACAAAAGAACATACTGCTTTGTCATCCAATGTGACTTTGGATGTCACAAATTCATCCAAAGTCACATTGGATGACTTTGAGTTCTATTTTATGTGTAAAGGAGAAAACCCTCTCATTCTTCTGTACTTTAGAACCTCTGTCATTGCCCTTTAGTTGCCCTTTCTCAGTCCTTTTCTCATTCTATCATATCCTTGTCAGAGGCAGTGACCAAAATCATGTACAATATTGGCAACTTAATTTTCAGTAATTTTAATAATAATTTCTCATGTAGATCCCACCATTTTCATCAGTCTTACAGATTGAATTGACATTTTCATTGAGTTATCCAAGATGTCTACACAATTTATTTTCTGGTTAATCAGTACCAGTTCAACCATTTTCTATGTATAATTGGTTAGACGTTTTTGTGCCATTATGTGCTACTATATACTTCCATACACTGATCTACAATTTCCAGTTTATTGCCAGACCATCCCGTTTGGAAAGATCTTTCTGGAGCTCTTTACCATGCCTTTGTGTTTTCACCATCCTGAATTAGGTCAGATCTGTGAACTGAACCCACTGTACTTTTCACCCTTAACCAAATCATTTATGAACAAGGAAAGCATTACTCTTTGTTCATATCATTCAGGGATTATGATTCTAGCACCATTAATTGAGAAGTGTCAGGCTATTCCTATTCTATATTAAGTTACTAAGCCGTAAGAGAATCGTGCCCTCTTACGTCATGACTGATAGCGTTATTTGAGCATCTCTGTCAGAAGGTTTTTTGAAAGTGCAAGCATACAGTGTTTATCAGACCATTCCTTTCTGCATGTTTATTGACACTTTCAAAGAATTCTAAATGTTAGTGAGGCAGAGCTTACCTTTGCAGAAGCAATGTTAATGCTCCTTCAACAAGACCTGTCCTCTGATTTTAACTTTAACAGAATATTCAGTTTGCCCAGAACAATTGTTAAGCTATTTGTCCATAAGTGAGGGAATAAGTACTACTTTTGGAAAAGTTAAAGTGGCCAACTTTTCTTGCAGATTGAAGAATGTGTGGTATGCTCAGACAAAAAAGCAGCTGTACTCTTCCAGCCTTGTGGACACATGTGTGCTTGTGAAAGTAAGTGCTTTTCACAGGTAACAGGTAATGTAATTACATTTGTAAATGTAATGCTATTTATTAAATTCACTTACTGAAATTGATGGAGTTCATCAGGTGATGAATATGATGGTGCTTAAAATATAAAAACCATTTTCTGAGCTCATCACACTTAGGTGTATTTGGCAGATGGGGTAGCTTTGTATTAAGCTGTGCATGTGATTGCAGATTGTTTATTTTCTCTGTATAAATTAGAGGATCTTCATTGTAGGGGGGGGGGGGGAGTAAATAGTATATGAACTCCAGGTGGCACAGTGGGGGTGAGGAAGCATATGTGTTCTCTTTTGTTTCCTTTTCTTTGCCAGAACACAGAAAAAGTTTACTAGATTTATTTGAGTGCAACTCTTTACTTATAAAAATGAATGGTCAACATTTGTTTCTTTTGTGGAGTAAGGAGATAAAAAATTTGCAACCAACCTGGGTGTTAAAAACTCCTTTTTCTCTTCTACAATCTTCACTTGTTAAAGTGAAATTGAATGAATAGATTACCAGGTTGTTTTAAACACAAAATGGTTCTCAATAATAAACTTTTTTCCAGATTGTGCCAGCCTGATGAAAAAGTGTGTGCAGTGTCGGGCAGTAGTAGAGCGAAGAGTGCCTTTCATTATGTGTTGTGGTGGGAAAGGTACAGAAGATGTCACAGATGATATTAGTGAGTTATCTTTTTTTCCTTCAGATTTGTTTTGATATCTTTCTCAACTAACTTTTCCAGCACTTAAAACTGGACAAAGAACTGATATAACTGTACTTCTGAGTGCTACTTTGTGATCTGGGAAAGAACATTTAAACAGCAAGAAATCTATTCTGAATAGCCCAACATTACTGTTTACCAACTTCTGAGAGAAACCAGAGTATATCCTTTTGTCTTAATAGGAAAGTGCAGATATGATTGTCCTTCAGTCCAGACTCTGATATATGGGAAAAGTGATAGCAAATGTTAGACATAAACTTTCTATATACATTTTGAAGCCATGGGGTAAAAAAATGTGTATTGTTTCCTGTGCTGGGGCAGAATATGAAAAAAAAAAACCATTTAGGAACTTTTTAAAAATTTACAATACTTTTAAAAGCTCTCTTTACAGATCTAAAGATCTATAGTCATTTGGCTATTTTTGTTTTATACTTATATATTGTATAACTTGGTTTGTTCATGTTGCAATTACATTTAAAACATTTGAAGCAAACTCTAAATTTGTTACTCAGCAGGCCTAGCAGTATTAGCTGATTAGCTGGTTGTAAAAATTAGTTTTTAAATGTTAATGTAATTTGGTATGTGTTTTCATTTAATCCTATTGTATTTTATTGTACTCATTTCTGTAGTTCACTGTCCAGAGAGCTTTGGATATTGGGTGGCATGGAAATTAAGTAAATGAATTTAATTTTAAAATTAATTCAATAAAACCTAATTTACCAAACACAATATGGTAGATTAATACCAAACACCACCATTAAGTTCCCATTAGACCAAGAGGAACTTAAGAAGTAATCTGTGAAACATCTAGAGATCAGATGAAGCAGGAAGAACTGAAGGCAGAGGAAGGCTATTGTACAGATGTTTTCTGTTTGTGGAGAATTATTTACAATGGAATTTAGGGAAATACGGGCTGATGGAAGAGCTACTGGTAGCCCTATTTAGATGTGGAAGATGCTCTTACTTGTTAGACATGGTAGCCAAGCATATTTAACCTAAAAACCTGTATGCAATCTCAGCATATTATTTGAAAAATGACATTTTACTCCCTTGTAAATAAATGATCTTAACAAATGTTATTTTTTGTTTGTTTTGAAAAGTTTTCTTTATGGAGAATGTAGGTACAAAAAGTGTATTTTAGAGGCACCAAAATAGTTGAGGTATCATTCTGAATCATGAGGTTAAAGTTGGAACTTTACATTAAGAAACCACGCAGCATCAAGATCCATAGACTGAAACTTCAAAATTGTGTTTTCATTTTTTCAAATAGAAACATAGAGAGGCTATTTTATCATACAGAATTATACTGTTTTGAGAAAAAAGCCAAGGAAAAACTTTGGGGAAAAAACAAAACAAAAAGCAGTTTTCTCATTTTTGTCCAGTTTTTCTCCATGCTTCCATCAGACTGTGGTGGTAGGGGTACATTGCTGTTTCCAAGAGAACAGTTACTACCTATACCAGACATTCAAACAATTGCATATTACAGTTTTGAAAATGCTGTATTTTTGTATTCAAGAATTACAGTTCATGGACCAGAATATGCAACTGTTTATCTCCTGGCTGTCATTTGTATATATCAGATTCTTCATAGGAATGTATAACATTAAAAACAGTGGGTGAATAAAAGATAATGAATGGTATTTACATTCTGATGACTTAATCCCTAAATAAAATAAACCAGAACTTTTGTAGGATATTCATTACACATAGGAGCATTTTAATGAAACCTTCCTGTGTACATAATAAGCCTGCTGGATCAAACTGGAGGCTGTCTAGTTTCTAACAGTGTGTCTGGGAAGGCAGCAGAGCACCTGAAAAGCTGTTCTCACTATCTAGTATTCTGGACTTGGACTAGGAGCTCAGTCCCTTCTCATAAGGAAGTTGTTTGTTTGTTTAGGGTACTTCTATAACCATTCGATTAGACAAGCTCTTAGAACAGTTTACAGAATAAACTTTTAAAAATCGATAACCAATTTAAAAACAAATTTTAAACAGCTTTGCCTGTCATAGAACAAAACAATAACATTTTACAGGTTGTGATAAAACAGTAACAAAACAATGTATATAATAACATAATAACTATTTCACCTGTACCAAACAGATGTTCCGTAGATTGTCTTTTTATGTACTCTTTCCAGTGTTGCAGTAGCCTTTTAATGATGGGAGAACCAGAACTATGAAAAGTATTGCAAATGTGGTGGTGCCACAGATTTCTCTAAAGACATTTCCAATTACCCTAGTGGATTGAGCCTTTTCACTGATGCTGTCTTCCATGACTCTACAATGTCGTTTCAGACAGTGCAGATTGCCTTTAATAAATATGTGGTTAGGAAGTTTAACTCTTACATGAGCTACTTGAACTTATTTTCATTGAACCAAATTTGTAATTTTATTGCCTATTCACCAATTTGGGTAGTGCTTTTTGCAGCTCTTCATACTGGATTTAACTGTCTTGAAAATAGTCAGAAGAGATGTACCTGGAGCCATTTTATGGATTATTTTGTTAGAATGGGCTTGTTTCATCTATGTTGGTTACCATTAGGCTTCAAAGCACAATTTTAGATGCTGGCCATTAGCTGTGAAGTCCTAAACAGTTTGGAACACAGGTATTTTAAGAACTGTCTTCTGCATGAACCAGCCTGCCAATTGCATTTGTCATTGGAGGCCGTGCTCTGCATCCTGTTGCTATCAGAGGTTTATTTTGTAGGAATGCAGGGCAGGAACTTCTCTGAAATGGTTGTGGAACTTCCACCCTTGAGAGGCTCAGTTGCCCCTCCCCTTAGCAGATGGGCTATGCAGATGTTTTTATTCCATTGTCCCATCAGTAAGTATTTTCTACTATTTTTGAGTCTATCTGTCCTATTTTGTGAAGTTTTGTGTTCTCATTTTTTTTTATTTTATTTCATTTTTAATTATTAGAAATATATTGTGGCTTGTCCTAGGTTATTTTACCAAGTACCTTCAGTATCCTGAGGCCAAACGTTAGCATCATTTTTTAAAAAAAAGTAATGTTGGTATCATCTGCACACCTGGGGACATTGCTCCAGATAATTTATAAATGTGAAACAATTCCTGTGCAGAACCTTGGAGCAACCCCTATTGTTTCTTTTTATCCACTGAGAAAACAATCAGTTTGTTTTAATAAATGTATACATTCACACATTGGAGCTAGATTTTGAAAGCAACAACTGGGATTTATCATGTGTGATGGATGCAGATTTTTTTTCTTTTTTCTTTTTTGTAGCTGGAACTTCTATATATTGTGCATTCAGTCTTCTGCATCAGGACTAATGTAACTGCCAGTGTAATTTGGGGTATTTTCTTTACATGTTCTTAAAACTGTTTCATACTTTTTCAGAACAGCATCTGTATAAATATATCAATGCCATCTGTCTCTCTCTCTCTCTGATATACCATACTACTTAACATCTCAACAGAGTCTAGAGTGGTGAACTATATGACAAAACAGCTAAAAGGATAAACCCATGTGTTTATAACTTGCAGTGTGTCTTAATACAATCAGTGTTCATTTGTAGTGCATATTTCTCAAGCAGTGCCCAGCCAGTAGAGTGCTGGCACAGAGAAACAATTGGCAGAGTGTATTTAGTTTAGAGTGTATTTGTAAAACAAATATATAAAGAATATAATTAAGAAGAGTTGTTTTTGGTAATTTAGACATGGTAATGTGTTTTAATAGGCTAGAAGTAATTTTTTAGATAGGCTGGGTGTCTTATTTCTTTTCATTTTTTGCTAGTGTTGCATGACACTATTTCTTCTTCTCTGCATTGTGTAGCTAGTGGAAACATTCCTGTTCTGCAGAAAGACAAGGACAATACCAATGTCAATGCTGATGTACAGAAATTGCAGCAGCAATTGCAGGACATAAAGGAACAGGTAAAACAAACATATTTCTGTGATAAATATTGAAGAACTGAAGCTGTAGTGTTTTAAGCAATTATATGAGAGATTTCAGGTTTAGATAACCATATGTTCCTAATGGGAAGACACTGGAGCATCTTCAATTGGGAAAATACTATTTGCATCATTTTTCAATGCGAAAAAGTCTCCCAGCTGTAGTCACTTTGATTTTACACCACTTTTCTTTATGCATTATACTCAAAGCAGTTCACAGGAAAACATGACTCCCCAAAAACAATAGCTTCTATTTCAAAATGTTACATATATAATAAAAAGATAGAGCATCTTCAGAATAATACAGTAAATTAAGAAAATTACTGGCAAGAACAAAGTGAAATAATATTTTTTTAGTTTATTTCTATCCTACGTTTTAACTTATGAGGTAGGTTACACTGAGAGTTTATCTACCAAAGAGTCTACCTGGCCCACCTGAGCTTCCTGGTCAAGTGGGAGAAAAAACCTGGATCTTCTGAGTTTTAGTCCAACACACTAATCTATATGCCACATTTTAAACATGTTTTATCCAGGGCCTAAACTGTAACAGAAACAGCAAATGAAACCCTTCTAGAGAATCACAGAGGGTGGTGGAACCAATCCTTAGTACCAGATGTTAGATACCATCTAGCTTTGTGGTTTAGTGACAGGTAGTAATATTTTCTGGTGATGGTGGAAGGTTCTTGCAGTTGCAAGTCCCCTGCCTAACAGGAATGGTTTGCTTAACCAAGGTTCTAGAGTACCTTTCCTACTGCTTCAGGAAAGTTGTTGGGCCTTTGGGAAAAGTGGGAAAAGTAAAAGGTGCTTTAAGCACTATCCTTCCAAGAACAAATGCGCAAACTGACTTCTTCCTTGAAGTCAGCTCCAACTACTCTTGCAAACAGAACAAGGGTTTCATACAGATTCTTATAAAATAATGGCCTTTTTTCTTGATGTATGCCAATGCAGTTGTGTTTTGTAAATTCATTAAGGGACTCAATACATATATGGAAATTTGGCTTTTAAAATCATATTACTTCTAAATAACTTGCTTTTAGACATCATTAGAAATGCCAAAACACCTTGTGGTTGTTCCTAGCATTTCAGAATTGTTTAGCTGAACTTTGCAGCCACAGTGTGATTTTTTATGATAATGTGGCAGGAAATAAATTTCCATATATTTTTACGATACAAAATAACTAGATTCCCTGAAGCTTTCTCCAGAACAGTGAAGGGTATAGAACAAAAACAGAACAGAGCATTTAGCAAATGGAAAGTGAAATTAAAATTGTGTTATTGTTCTGTATTACTAGAAAGCTAGTTTAGTTTAATCGTTTAAAGACCAAACTCTGAAGTAGAAAGTCCCTTTTTCAGGTCTGAGCCATGAACTTGCCAGGTGGCTTTAGTAAACGCAATAGTAAATCTAAGCAAAACTGCTTTGAGACAGATAAGGTTTGCCTTCAGTGTATATTTACCATTTGTTCTTTTAGTGTTAATATTTTAAGATTACATTTACAAAGTAACATGGTAATGAGGTATTCTGTTTTGTTCTTGTTTTCTTCTATACTGTTTTTCAATTCTTTGTTAATCTCTTACAGACTATGTGTCCTGTGTGTCTGGACCGTCTGAAGAATATGATCTTTCTCTGTGGTCATGGAACCTGTCAGCTATGTGGAGATCGAATGAGTGAATGTCCTATCTGCCGAAAGGCTATTGAACGAAGGATCCTTTTGTATTAAAATGTAAAGCGACTTATGGCAACTTATCACATTATTACTAGATTTTGTTAATTGACTCTCTGCATAAGCTTTAATGGCAGCTAAAAGTTATCATGAAAACATTTCTAATGTTACAAAGTGTGTTGCATTGAAGTACTGATGACAACACTACAAATCAGTATTTAAGTGGTCTCCTATCATCAAGAAAGCTAAACCAAGGTTAGGCTAATTAACAGTACATTTTGTTTATATCATTTGATGTTTTCCTTCTTCTCAAACCCTTTATGTTAAAGGGACAATCTTGATTGTCTGTCTTGTCATTTTTATTTTATATGTATGAACTCTCCTTTCAGCCACATTGATTTTTATACTATCAGTTGCTTTCATGTATAAATATTTTTAATTCATTAATTTTATTTGTTTTAAGATTGTTTTCATAGTAGTTAGTAGGAAATTGTAATGACAAAGCCTTGTAGCCAGGTATAGGAATTTTTAAAAATTGACAAAATAAATGAATAGCATTTCAGTATTACATGTTGCCTCCAAAATCTGAATACCTATCATTTTTATGGTCTGTTATTTGCTATAAATTAGCTTGAAGAAAGTACATCAGTTAAAATTAGTCCCTCCTGTGAAGGGCTGCTTGGTGAACTTTACAGTCGTAAAGTAGTGGTTGTTTCCTCTGAAAAAAGCCATCTAAGAAGCCAGCCTTCTTCAGAACTTTGCAAAACACTGGACATGAAGCTGACACAATATCAATGGTGCTAGTAACAGGAGAAAATCTAGTACATACAGCAGATATCCAGTTTTCCTGACAGGTATGAGGAGGATTCCTACCATAATTCTCCAACTTGGAAAACCAGTTTTTAGGATGGTGGCAGAGTTCATAGAATCATAGAATAGTAGAGTTGCAAAGGGCCAGACCACTGTCAGATCTAGCCCCCTGCTCAGTGCAGGGCTCCAAGTTAAACAATCCCTCTTAGATGACTGTCCAGTTGTATCTTGAATGCCTCTAGTGTGGGAGAACGATCTCCCTTGACCATTGGTTCCAATGACATGGTGCTCTAACAGTCAGGAAGTCCTTCCTAATGTTCAGCCTAAACCTCACTTCCTGTAACTTGAACCTGTTATTTCATGTCCTACACTCTGGGATGATTGAGAAGAGATCCTGTCTGTCCTCTTTGTGACAGCCGCCTTTCAGGTACTGTTAGAGTGCTATCGTAGCTCTCCTCAGTCTTCTCTTCTCGAGGCTAAACATGTCCAGTTCTTTCATTCTCTCCTCATAGGGCTTTGTTTCCATTTCCTGGATCTTCCTTGTTGCACTCCTCTAAACCCTTTCCACAGTTCTCCTTTCTGTTGTTATTGGGATACTTTGTAATAGCAAAGTGTTCTGGCAATAGAGTTGGATCCAGACTAAGCCATATTTTGGAATGACATGAAACGGCTAATGAAACAGTAAACTTTAGATTAGTTATTACCAACTGGAGTCCCACTGGTGTCAGTCTGGTGTCAGTGGTTCTGCTTGATCAGTGCAAAGTCTGCAGGCAATCTATAGGCTAATAATGCAACTTTTAAAGGGTGAAATTCTGTATTTGTTTCAACAAAAGCACTCCTACAATTCCCACAATACTCCAGCTGGAAAGATCCTGGAGGACTTGTTTCTGTATAACTATGCATAGAACTGTCCATTTTGTTGACTACACTAGGCTGGAATGCAGAAAAGGCAAT